TCTTTCAGGTAATTGCTTTGACTAAAGCTGGCTTTAGCATGAAAAGAAACTCTTTGAACAAGAGGTAATCTGGTTTCAGGGAGGAAGTTAAACAAAAGAAAATCATTGAAGCTTAGAAGAGTCCTATAATAGTTCAGATTTAATCTTGTTAGCTCAGTAAGTATTCTGCAATTATGGCTATATGTTCCAATAAATAACCTCCACTTTTGCTATCAATTAATGACTACTAATTAAGCTGAATACAAAGATCAATGATGAAGGACAAAAGCATGGCACAAGATCCTTCTTCCCCTATTCTACATATAGATATATGTAGAATATATATTTGCTTGTTGCATTTTTTTAAGCCTTACTGGTGTGGATTCTGGGCCAGAATTTCTGTCTGAATGCTGCCTAAAGCTCTGCAGTTACCAGGAAACTGGCATTTCAAACCTTCTGCAGCTAAAACTTGTTCACACAACATGTTTATGAAGTGCCAGATGCTACAGAATGCTGTAGTTACAGCACTATGCACAAGATACACCTCCTTCCTAACACTGAGCCAATATTGTTTCTTCCACACTTTCACCTTTTTCTAACATATGTTTTTCCTCACATTCTCAGTCTCATTGCCAAGCCCCAACCCTTTGGGAGAGCTCTCCTTTCTATGAGCTCTTTCTCCAAAGCAGCTTTTTTACAACCACCACCTCCCTACAAGCCCTTTAGATTCCATCCCTTTCCACTCCTCCTCACCTGCTCATTCCTGACCTACTGGCTCAGTGAATTTTAACATTTCAAGTTTGACTGTGCTGCTATTTCTCTTCCTATCAGCTCCATTGCCAGTCCTGGTCATCCTGCCTGCTTCCCAAGCCAGCCAAGGCGCACAAAACTTTACCTCCCAGCAAGTCCTGCAAGGAGACTCTTCAGAGCACACAAGACTGAATTTCCAGTCCTCACACTGGAAACCAAAAGCAATAACCCAGATTCAACAGCCACAAAGAGTCCTGTTCCCCATGGATAATGTTTTTGATGGAACTAAGCCACAAAGCACTGCAGTTTCTACCAAGAACCACTGTTACTATAGGATACGAGATAACACGATGCAGACACGTTGTTGTTCTCAAGGTAGGAAAAAGAAGGGAAGTTTATTTTCTGACTCTAACATTTATAGATTTCTAAAGGTGACAGTGGATTGGAGGGTGAAAGTGCCACCTCTCCAATTATACTGGACAAACTAACAGTCTATCAAGTTTCTCCTCTTCCATAAAAGAATGTAAAACAGTAAGTTGTTTACAGAAAGTGTGTGAGAAAGTTTGCTACAAGAATGCAAACATCAGAAGGCTTAGAAAATCTTAAAAAAATCAAGGTGACAAACCATTAAGGTGAGTATTTAGTGGCTTCTAGCTTGGTTTGCCATGGCAAGCGGAATATGCCTGACACCTAAAGGTGTGCACCACAACTGGTGTCAGGCACCCAACACCAAAGAGTAAAAGCACAGGTCACTGGAGTGGCACAGGGCTGAACACTCTCATGGTGCATGCACAGACATCCAGGAGCACCCAGGCACTGCTGTGAGAGGACTGGGCTGAAATTACCTGGAAGTGTTCAAGGCCAGGTTGGATGAGGCTTTGACCAACCTGGTCTAGGAGGGTGTCCCTTCCCAAGGCAGGGGGCTTGGAACTAGACAATCTTTAAGGTCCTTTCCAACCCAAACCACTCTATGATTCTGTGAAAATGTCTGGTTGCACAAAGTCACAAATAACAGAGTAAGGGACTGAGAAGTATTCTGGAACCTCAATGAAGGAATACTATAAACCTGAACTAAACTATCAAAAAATTTGCATCAGACTGTGAAGACTCATTTCACTTTTATCCTTTCATGCACAACAAGAAGAGCTTTTTTATTTTTTTTTTTAATCTGCAAGCATTCATGTCCAGAAGTGGTTTAAAACACTCTTCTAATAAGAAATTAAGTAACGACAAGAGATTATCAAGTTAGAGGAGGTAAGAAAAGCAACTCGAAGTAGAAGAACGGAAGCAAAATTAACAAAGAAACCATGCTGCTGTCGTGCATTTAATGTGCTTGGAAAAATATGCCCACACAGCTGCTGAATGTGCAGCCAGCAGCCAACTGTGACCAAGAGCTCACTGGAGCTGCACTTTCACAAGTCACATTCACAGGCGGTCGTGCCAGTTACTGCCACCCCCCTCCCAGGGGAACTCTGCCTTTGAAAGCCCCTATCAATTTCATACAAGCTCTATAAAAAGAACACAGAAAGAGTTTTAATACATGTATTAACATGACATGGTTGAATTCCATTAAAGAAATCCTGCTAAAGAAACAGGAGAAGTGATCGACTATCATGCTGCACTGAGATTTAAAGGATGGGTGACCACATGGAGCTGGCATCTTCAAAAAGCAGTACATAAAGTGATAGGCATATTCAAGAACAGAAGTCAAAAAACATGACAGAACATTTAAAATTACAAATTGTGTGTGGTCAGCAGCAGATCATTGGCCCTGAATCTTGAACTAGTAAACTCATTTATTTCCCTGCAGGCAATGAGTAAGGGATGTGATAAGATGCCCCATTCCTGGAACTGTTCAAGGCCAGGCTGAACAGGGCTTTGGGCAGCCTGGTCTGGTGGAAAGCATCCCTGCTCACGGCAGGGGGATTGGAACTTTATGATCTTCAAAGTCCCTTCCAAACCAAACCATTCTGTGATTCTATGATTCTTCACAGAGCATGCAAAAATGTGAAATTAAGGACACTTCAGCTCTAAAACAGTCCATGCCATCAAGGTGCTAACAGATCACCCACATTTGTGAAAATTTCAAAGATAGCCCATAAATGGGTGAATGCTTGACATCACAGCAGTTTCAAATTCAAGGTACCTTCAAATAAAGTTGCTAACAATTGTAGAATCTTTTTTTTTTCTGAGGATACATGAAAACTGGGGTACAGCATTTACTGCTCTAAGAGCAGTGGCTGGCAGCTACTCATGTTTAGAGCTATTAGAAAAAATTTTGCAAGTGAGTTCACCAGCAATATTAACAGGCTGATTAAAAAAACATGAAAGCAATTACTTTCAGTAAGACTGCATCATCTTTTATCAAATCTGAATATAAAAAAGCAGATGTTTAAGAACAGCTTAACTGAAAGCATAAATATTCCAATCTTTCTTACTACACGAAACATTTTTAAACCACAGGCACATCAGCAAAATTCAAATAAAATGTAAGTATATAACAATCTACACAGAACAATTCATAGTATCTAAGAATAAGGAAAACAACTGCTGTTGTGCTTGCTTTAAGCTGTCTGTTATGAAACAGAAGGGCAAAACTGAATTTCCCCCAAAATTGATAACAAAGTTTTAACAACTGCACTATGTCAAACCCTGTCAGGTCTGACATTTTCACACTTCCTGCAGTGCTTTCTCAAGAAAGTTATTCATCACAGTACTTAGAAGTAGGTATAAAAATACTGTTTATAGACTATTCGTAATTTTTTTTAGCTCTGAGAATTATCAGCTGCCTGTGAAAATGCTGTCAAAGCCTCCCTTGGTGTTTAAATTGCACCTTAGTGAAGGCATATCAAAAGAAAGCAGAAAAAGTTACAGAAGCAGACAACAAGAAATTAGTATCAAAAGTTTTTCCTGACAAATAATGCAGCTTAAAAAAATAGAGTGCTTTGATATCTTACATGCATTTAAAAGGCAGTAGTTTAAAACCTGTTAAAATACTACCTGCAGTAACAGTGTTTACATGCCTAAAACTTTCAGGACAGACTCCTGGTTTCAAGGGGGTTGTGTGGGGATTTGAGGAATATCAGGAAGCAGAAGAACGACTGCAACATATTTAACATTAGCTGATGGACAGGATTTGAAGTACAAATAAAAATCATTTTACAGCAGACTTCCTCAACAATTTCTGCTCCCTCATCCTTCCACCCCAAAATCTACCCCATTAATATATTCCAGTTATATTTTGCAGAGCTCCATTGAGACTGGCAAGCACCTGCTGATGCACAGCCTGATCCAACTGGACCAGAAGCTTACAGAGGCTGCCTAGCAGAATGCATCTGTTCTGAAAAAGCATCAAAGTATTTTCCTGATCTAAAGATTTGGCAAATTCTCTAAAGCTCCTAATAATACAGTAGTTTTGTGCTAACAATTCTTCTAAAACACTCTTAGTATTCACCACCTAGACTCTAGTTTTAACTGACTACAATATTTCACTTATTACATTATTCAGATGTTTACTGCCCATGAGGCAGGTTGGGACCACTGTATTCCATCAAATGGTCCATTCCTTGAAGATGGCAGTTTAGATAATGTCAAGAATGGTTTTGGAAATAAGATACTGTTAAAACTACATCACTATTACTGACAATACCGGTTTCACTTCAGGCAAAAATCATGACAATACTCTCAGCTGTTCCAATTAGTGCTCTCTATAAACCCCAACATTTATCAAAAGAAGAACTGATGGACAACAGCTTCGCTTGATTAAAAGAAAGCTGATTTAGACATTCTATCCAGTGTTCAGTACTGCAAGCAAGCACATTTTGGGCTGGCTCTAAGAGCAACAGCTTGGTAGCTTCAGTCCTTCCAAGTCTTGATGGGCACCTTAAACAGTGTTTTTAAGAACTGCACACTGAAAAACTGTGACTTCATGCAGCTGCCACAGCTATCCAGATGCAGAGCGAGATGGCTGTGCAGCTGTTCTCAGATTCAAGGCAATGCTGTAACCAAATACTGTCAACTATCGCTACCCTCTCTGCAATTAGTTAAGGAATAACACCTTCACCGCTCAATACACCCAATCTACTGGGATCCATGCCGGAAAGCACTTTACGCTTTGCTGAGCTGTTATTCAAGCCAACACTCTCAGATCGTGGATTTATTTTATTTCCCTCTGGGCAAGCTCTTCCTCCTCGTTTGTCAGAGCTCTCTAGGAAAGCCTGCCCAGCCCAGGCAAGGACCAACCACCCGGCAGCGAGCGAGGGAAGCGTTACCTCCGTTGATAGGGACGGGAGCCACCAGCAGCCCCTTGACCTCCACCTTCGGAGAGTCCTGCCCGTAGCGGCCGCGGTCGATCCGCAGCAGCGTGGGGCCGCCGCGCTCGGGGCTCAGCACCGTCACGTTGATGAGCGCGGTGTAGTACGCCTGGCTGGCGTTGTCGGCGCCGGCCGGCCGGACCCGGCCGTGCCACAGCAGCAGCGGCAGCAGCAGCAGCACGGAGGAGCCGCCGTTCCAGTGCTGGCGAGCCCACCGCCAGCTCATCTTCGACTCCAGGCGAGCCGACGGCCGTCACCGGTTGCCTCCGCCGCTTCTCCCCGGCAGCGTCGAGCCCCGCACGCCCGGGTGTGTCCTATCCCATCTGACAGCCCGGGAGCGGAGAGAGACCAAAAGCAGGCGGAGCGGGGAGGAGAGCTCGTGCTCATGCCATGGGAGGAGCCAGGGGAGTCATGGCAGGTCCCAGCCGAGTCCGATCCGCCGCCGCGGCTCCCAGGGGAGGCTGCTCGGGGGAAGCCGAGCTCCGCCGGTCCCTCAGAGCGCCGCGCTCATACCGCCCGCCCGCCGCTGCGGGGGAGCGCCGGCCCGGCGAGGGGAGGGGAGGAGGCGGGGGCGGTGCCGCGGCCCCCTCCCCGCGCAGCCCCTCGCCAGCCCAGGGGAGGCTGCTGGCAGGAGCCGCCGCTGCCGCCTCAGCCGCGCCCGCCAACAGCCGCGGGGCTCGCCTCGGACTCGGCCCGCCGCGCCGCCTCGGGGCTCGTCGCCGCCTTAGTGCGGCAGGCGGCGCAGCTCAGTGCCCAGCCCGGCGTCCGCAGCCGGCAGCCGTCGCTTCATGCCCGGTTCGCCCCGAGGGCGGCGGGGCCCCCGCACCGTCCCGCGGCTCCGCCACCGGCTCCGCGCCCGCGCCTCGACTGCAGCTCCGTGCTCTGCGCAGGCGCCGCACGCCCCGCCCCGCCCCGCGCCACGAGGGCGAGAGGCGGAGCTTGGTCATCGACCACGCCCTCGGGAGGCGGAGTCCGCATGGAGGGCGGGACCATGGTATATGATGTCATTGTGGGCGGGGCCAGGCGGAGGTGGGAGCTGGGCGTGGGGGGCTGCAGTGACACTCGGGGGGGGCTGCAGTGACACCCGAGGGTGGGGAGGGCTGCAGTGACACCGGGAGGGCTGCAATGACACCGGGCTTCGGCCACCCGCGGCTCCGGAGGAATAGATCACAGCGTCACAGAACCACCGGATGGAAAAGACCTCATGGAGTCCAGCCTGTGACCAAACACCACCATGCCCACGAGACAGTCTTTCCTTAAACACCTCCAGGGACGGTGACTCCACCACCTCCTTGGGCAGTCCGTTCCAATACCTAACCACCTTTCTGTGAAGAAAGTCTTCCTAATGTCCAACCTAAACCTTCCCTGGGGCAGCTTAAGATGTTGGGACACATGAACATACAGGCTCCCATGGCTTCTCAGCATCTTTTCAGAAAAATATTTCCAGTTCAGGGGTGCTGATCACCACAAAGATACAAAGAAAGAGTTTTAAAGCATGTCAGAAATAGGGGTGAAAGAGCTGTGTGTGTGAAAACCAGGTGGGATGTGTTCAATCTGTCCAGGTAGAACTGAATGGGATTTTGGGGCAGGAAAAGCACAGCCTCTGTGTCAGGTTTCGGTCATTCCTACCCTATTAGGCATTACTTGCTTCTGACGTACTGAAATGGGAAATTGTACAAACACTCAAATACTGTTAATAAATATTAGTCCCCGGAAATACTGTAAAATAGGGTTTGATGAATGATCAACTAACATAGTTTTGATTTCAGCCTCTTGCGAGATGTAACAAAATAGTGTAATGGCCTCCTTGGATTTTGAAAGACAAACTAACTGAAAATTAGTTACAGCAAAGAGAACAATTACTGCAGGACTGTGAGTTAGGATATTTTCTAAATTTCTGAAAAAATGGCTGTGGAGTTCTTTTGAGATATGGTCTCCTTGGTGACTTCCTCAGCTGCACGGGAAGGCCCTCAGATAAGTCTGGTGTGAACCTATGCATCTTATTAACCTGTTTTCTTCTGGGAACTTTTGTATTTTATTCATTTGTGATGCACCTGGTCTCTCACACACATAAGATAACACTGTTGAAGCACTGAGATACAAGTAGTTTTATCCTGCTCTTGGAGAGACCTGTTCAATTTCCAAGGAAAGCAGCATGCTGCAAACCTGCATCTTGGAGCAGAATGGATGTGTGGGCTCTGCTAAAGGCATGTGTGGCTCTGTAAAATCCTCTGAGAAGCTGTTTCTGCAAAGCTCTGTAGAAATGTCAATACAATCCAGGAAATTATTCTGAAGCAGCAACTGAATGTTCTGCTTACATTTTTTTAAATTTAATTTTGCCCTTCTTGATACATGCTGGGTGAGGAACCACATGGTATTGACTGTCTCCTCATTTCACCCAAACTTTCACCCCAGCCAGAGGGCGAGAGCTGTGGCTGACACACTGCAGTGTGCAGAACATGCTTTGGAGCTGTTCTTGCTTTGATTTCTCAGCACTAAGAGCTCTGCATCATTCTGATGCAAACTCATGTGCTTTATTGCTGAAATGTCCTCAGAAGGGGCGAAGAAGTCCCGGGAGCCTGAGGACTTTTTGCTATCACTGTGCTGACCTTCAGAGAAGGATCTCAAAGCACTTTTGAAAAACATTGAGGAAGTATTCACTGGCCATGCTAGAAGCAAAATGAGGAGCCCAGCCAGAACATCCACAGTTCCTTGCTAACCACATGAAATGGCTGGTTTTTATTTTACCCCGTCTGGTTTCCTGTGGGCTTCTGATGGAGAGAGGTGCTGCAATGCCTGTGTGAGGGCTGCCTGCTTGGTTCCATTCCCATGCCCATCCCCATTCCCATGCCCATCCCCATCCGGTTGGGAGGCTGTTCCTCACTTGCCTCCCAGCCTGTCCTATGGATGGGCTGGAAAGAAGGTGAGGAGCAGCCAAGGGGGACTCCTCATGGCCCCAGAAGAGGAGCAGCGAAGCACTGCTCCAGGATGCACCAAAACAGAGTATTTCGTCAGTAGAACAGCTTCAATCTCCTCATTGCCCAGATGGGCAGGCTCCTAGATGGGGAAAGGAAAATTAAAAGGTCCTTTTGGATGCTTTCACGCCATGGTGGAGCTGGATGAAGGGATGACGATGGAGAGGAGTGGAGATGTCCCCCTTCTGTCCCCTCAGCTCCTGACGGCTCCTCAGGGGACATTATTTTAGTGAGACAAACGGTGCTGATGCCTCCACAGCTCTGCCGCGGAGTAACGCGGGAGTTGTGCCTGAGCGTTCCTGGAACTCCTGGTGATATTTTTTTTTTTAGGGGAGCGCTCATGAATCCACTCGTGTTCCGTTTCACAGCGAGCACCTCGTTCAGCCGCGGTGGCCCAGGCCTCTCTCCCGCCCGTGGCTCGGCTGTGACACAGCCACAGGCGCGCCGCCATCTTCCCGCGGGGCCCGCGGCCGCCGGGGGCAGGGCGCCACCTGCGGGCCGCCCGCCGCACCGCCAGGGGCTCGCGCGGGGCGGGGGTCGGCGCCCTGAGGAGAAGGGGCCTGGGAGGGAATTTGGTGCCATGATGACAGGGGGGTCCGGTCCGGGGGTCGGTGCCGTGAGGAGAACCGACCGAGGCGGGGTTGGTTGCCATTAGAAGGAGAGGGGTCCTGGGAGGGTGATGCGCTGAGGGGTCTGGTACCATGAGGAGAAGGGGAGTCGAGGGGGTGTTGTTGTTGCCTTGAGAAAGGGCGTCCGGAAGGGGTTTGATTCCCTGAGGAGAAGGGGGTCCGGGGCTCTGGTTCCCCTGGCGTGGTGAATGAGGACAGGAAGGCTGGAGACCTCCAGGGCTGAGACCCCCAGGGCCAAGGTGACAGGAAAGGGTGGTGGGTCCCGGGCACAGGGCTGGGTGCTGTGTTTGCTTCTGCCAGCGAGCTTCACCAAAGAGAGTATGACTTCACCATGAGAAAAGACAGTTTCATGCTGGATAGAAATGCCCCAAGATCCATCCAGCTGTTTCTGAGAGGACGTGGGGAAATGCAAATGGACACAAAAGTAAAAATAATAAACCCAAAATGTGCTGATGGCTTGGGCCGGGGCTGGGCTGCCCCAGGGGCAGTGGTGGCCCCAGGAACCAGAGAGGCACTGCCAGTTATGACTTTATTCATTTTCACATTTAGATATTACAACAAAACTCTTAATGACAAAGGATAACAAGTACTATAGAAGAAGAGGAAAGGAAGCAGTGTTCTAAGTGGTTTGATATATAACCGTGAACTTCCAGAGACAGGACTCACCGTGAGTTACAATCACTCACATAACGCTCACTGGTAGGAAAACTCACGTGCAAATACCCACACACTCACCCACAGCACACTCACACACACACAGACCATGCTTTGTACTCATACATAACCCCTGTTTTAGCCTACTTGCTTCAAAGGCAGCCCACTGAAACATTGCATGCTGCTAGAGCAACAACAGGTACCAGGTTAAAATATTGCAATATAAATGTAGTGTTACTTGATACACAAGTTTTTCTTCAGAGACACACGTGTATTTGCAAGTAGGGGACCCAACACTGTTTTCAGGAGGGAGGAATGTCCTCTCAACACCAACAATTTGTAAAGAAAAGTGAGATTGAGCACAGAGTGGAAGCAACCATTTTAAAGGAAGGTGATGATGATAAATAGCTTAGCTTCAATGTTGAATTCCAAGCCCAAACAAAACAAAACAGAGAGTGCATTTTGAACAGAGCAGGCACAAATATTGAAATCTGGGTTTTAAACATTGAAATACTCTCTTGGTGATGTGGAAAGATAAACACTTCCTTCTCACATCTTAAAACCAAAACAGACCAGCTTCACTTCATGCTTATTTGGAGACTGTAAAAATAAAAAGCCAGAAATAATTCAAGAGAATGGGAAGGGTTATCAGGTTTGCACATCTAATTTTAGTACACCTTTAGAGAGCAAAAGTGCAATTGTCTCAACAGCTCTTCAATATCCCACACTACAGTTGTCCTTCATCAGCAGGAGTGTCTGAAGAGGAGCCAGATTTTGCTCCTATCAGGCTGCATTGTTCATGCAATACTGTTGACACAGACACAATAGGATCTGATTCCACCCCCCATGTAGATGGTGCAAGAGAGACAAAATAAACTTCTGTGGAGTTGCATGGTCAAAAATCAGATGACACAGAAGTGCTTTCTCCAGGGTGACGCAGGGGATCATTAACAATGGTTTTAACAATATAACCCTTCTCCACAAGGATGCTTGTGAGCAATTTACAGCTAAACCTAGAGAAAAAGTGCAGCTGTACTGGCTGGATGTCCATGCTGACAACCAGCCTGGGCACTAAGATGCCTCTGTCCCCTTTCTGCTGAGGAATTCTGCCATGCCCAGCAAATGTCATGCTCTGCTGGCACATACCTGTCCCTTACATATGGACAGGGACCAACAGCTACTTTGAAATTCTGTTTTTTAACTATTGTATTGTTCTTGGGCTCTCTCTCAGATGGGGCTGTTTCCAGGTAAAGAACTCTTCATGGAGTACTGGCAACAAGAGAGTCTGGGTCCTGTGGATGCACATCACCCAGTGAGCAGCCTGAATTTAGCTCAGCTGGTCACCTTCTACCCCTGTCAATGCCAGGCAGGACCAGCACAAGTCACATGCAGCCTTCCTTCTGCCAAGGGAACCACCAGTTCCAAAAGCAGGGCAAGATGAGGGCAGGAGAATTTGATCTGGCCTACACCCTGTTGGCTGTCCTACTTCCTTGTCCTGGCTCTCCAGCAGCTCCTGCCAGAGGATTCTTACTGAGTTGTAACAATTACTTAAAGATGCTTAAATTCCTGGCAGCTTCAGGGGACACCAGTAGAAGTCAGGGAATTCATTGTCATATGCAGTTTCCAATTCCACATCCTGA